ATGGAGGCGCTTTAAGAATCGACTTCTACTTCAGCGGTTGCCAACGCGAAAAACTGTTGCCAGGCTACGCTTGAGCTTCTCATGGAGGTTCGGTGAATCTTTCAATTTGTCCATCCACAGCAACAGGCCTTGGAGACCGAGATTGCAGGCGGCGACATTCGAGAGCTTGGAGAAAAGCTGTCTTCGGAGGCGGAAAGATGTACACGGTGCAGTGCAGAGAGTGCACATTTTCCAAGAAAAAAAACACTCCTTCGTCTCAACAGTGCGAGTTTCTAAGTTATATTAAATAAAGTTATTTGCGCATTGACGACAGCATGCATAGAACATGATGGCTAAGCTCATTGAGAATAAAAGTGTAGATACTATATTAGATGATGAAAAGCATAATATGGTGCAAAATAAAGCAGGGCGGGCTCGAGCCGGGAATTCAGACTTGAACGGAAAATTGGTGTTTGGATGGTGTAGGGTAGGGTGGGGGCAGAAGAGAGCTGTCGAAGATGAGTGTGAAAATGAGCAAAAATGAGCCAGTTGACTTGCAGATGAGGTGAGTGAACAGGCCGAAGATGACGAACAGCACAAGAGTCTGTGAAGAGAGCACAGATTCAACTCATAAAAGCGTACAGATTTACACATTCGTTAAACGTGGTCACAATTTGCAGTCGTCATGTCGGCGTTCACGACTGTTGCTGTGGGGATAGTTTCGAGCCCGGGCTTGCGTTAGGCCATTTAAAGGTTGCCGGGGCTGGAGGATTCTAGCGCTGACAAGCGCAGGAGGCCTCGAGTTATTTCGGCGACCGGGAACTCTTGCGACAAAAGAGTTTTGAGGCTTCGTTAGGCCGTTTGTCTGACGTTGTCCGACTTTCTCGACAGGAGAAGCCTGGACAGAGAAAGAGAGACATGATGAAAGCGTGTAATTGGGCTTCGATGAAAGTCTCGAATTAACATTTACTGTTTTCTAAAGTGTGCATGATGAAGGGATTTGTCGGTCTGCTATCCCGACGTTCAAGTGAACAGAGTCTACGGTACCTTCGTTCTCGAAACAGGTCTCATTGGTCAGGCCAGTGGACAGAATGGTTGACCTGCAACTAATACTCATTTTTAGAATTAAGTATTGTTTTCGTGACTACCAGTAAATCAGTAATATGGAGTGTAGTCACGAAAATAATACTTATTTCGAAAAATAAAGTATATTAGTCGATTGTTATAGCAAAACATACCTTTGATTCATCGACAATCCCACCAAACAATATGATATATCGATGGGAGCTTTATTGTTTATTTATACTTTATTTTTCGCATTTAAGTATTGTTTCGAGACTACCAGTGAATCAGTAATATGAGATGTATTCACCCAATTTCGTTCCAGGCGATGAAGGACTGGTATAATAAGAATTTTCCCACAATGATATGAGTTGAGCTGATATTTCCATTGAATTTTACACATCACCTTTAACGAAATTGGGTGAATACATCTCATACTACTGATTTACTGGTAGTCTCGAAACGATACTTAAATGCGAAAAATAAAATATAAGGAAACAATAAATCTCCCATCGATATATCATATTGTTTGGTGGGATTGTCGATGAATCAAATGTATGTTTTGCTACAACAAATGACTACTATACTTTATTTTTCGAATTAAGTATTTTTTTCGTGACTAAGCAAATCAGTAATATGAGATGTATTCACCCAATTTCGTTCAAGGTGATGAAGTACTGGTAGGAGAAGAATTTTCCCACAATGATATGAGTTGAGCTGATATTTCCATTGAATTTTACACATCACCTTTAACGAAATCGGGTGAATACATCTCATAGTACTGATTTACTGGTAGTCTCGAAACGATACTTAAATGCGAAAAATAAAGTATGAAGAAACAATAAAGCTCCCATCGATATATCATATTCTTTGGCGGGATTGTCGATGAATCAAATGTATGTTTTTCTATAACAAATGACTACTATACTTTGTTTTTCGAATAAAGTATTGTTTTCGTGACTACCAGTAAATCAGTAATATGATATTTATTCACCCAATTTCGTTCAAGGTGATGAAGGACTGGTAGGAGAAGGATTTTCCCACAATGATAGGAGCTGAGCTGACGTTTCCATTCAATTTCACAGCCTTGCATTCCAAAAAGTTGTTTTCATCCCTGCTGGAGTGGACTACTATACTTTATTTTTTGTATTAAGTATTGTTTTCGTGACTACATTTCATATTACTGATTTACTGCTAGTTACGAAAAAAATACTTAATTCGAAAAATAAAGTCTACTAGTCGATTGTTATAGCAAATATACGTTTGCTTCATCGAAAATCATACCAAAAAAGAATATGATATGGCAAAAATTCACATTTGTCCTGTGACTCAAAAGGCGCTCGTGGCAGTGTAGCTATTCGAGTCCCGCTAGAGGTGTTGATAAGACCGATGCGAGGTCGAAACTGCCGTCCACTCCAGCCGGAATGAGAACAACTTTTAGGAAAGCAAGGCTATGTGAAATTCAAA